CAGCTCTGGAAATGTTCACCAGTCATCCAATAAGCTGATCTTGGATTGTATACATTATGTTGTGCTGTATACAGCTTCACTCTCGGACTATATTTGCATTTCTTTTGCATGTGTAATGCTTGTGTCGGTAGATTAAACAGATGCATTTGTGTCAAGACTGGAGTGTACTCTATTATTGAATTGTACTGAATGCAGCATGGGTGTTTTTCCGGGGTTGATGTAATCTGGGGAGCTCTTTGCGAAATCTGCACCTCCCTGCCTGTGTGAGGGGAAGCATCATCCTGGTGGATCTGTGGGATTTCATGAACAGGCAGATGGAGAAAATATTGTTGACATTAAACTGTTCCTCTTTTAAAGAATTGTTGTGACAAGGTGGAGCTCCCATCACTCGAAATAGCAGCTGTGTACTGTTTACAAAGCGGCCCAAAGCAATGTTTGTTTCCATCGAGGCAGTGGCAACTTTTTCTCCTCTTTCTTATTCTTGCTCTCTCTCTCTCTCTCTCTCTCTCTCTCTCTCTCTTTCTCTCTAATGAAGAATGGAAGCTGTTGGCATAACATGTTCGAACTCATTCGGCTTTTGTTTATTTTGGCTTTATTTCCCCTTTTAGAGAGCCCTGAAATTGCAAAAGCTATTTTTCTCTCCTAAATAGACAACCCAAGTTCATACAACATTATGCTAGTTAATATAGACTGCGGTTCAGTTAAGCAGGTTCAAACACAAACCTCTGGTTAACGGATGGAGCCCAGGGGAGGAGAGGTAATGATTTGTCGATGTGAAGTCTCAGATGGTGAGTCAAATCAATGAGCTGGTCCAGGCTCATAATTACTGCTCTCTTCACCAGTGTAAAAAGAAATCAATAAAGTCAAGTATACACAGCGCAAGGCAACCAGGCAATGTTGCACACACAGCCAGCAGACTTCAGAAACCATGCTTAGTAGTCAATTCACAACGACAAAGGCCCTCCTCTCACAAAAATGACATGTTATCATGTCCATTGCCTTACAAACCACTCAATAAGAGACTAAATAACAGTGTGAGGGAAAACAAAAAATATATCAGTTAATGTGACCAAACCAGTTATTTTGTAAATGTTCACTTTGCAGTGTGACACTAGAGTTTCTTGAGAGTAAATCTAAATGTTATGTATCCACTGACACACACACAAATATATATATATATATATATATATATACATACACACACACACACACACACATACATACATACATACATACATACATACATACATACACACACACACACATACATATACATACATACATATACACACACACACACACATATATATATATATATATATATATATATATATATATATATATATATATATATATATATATATATATATATATATATATATATAATGTATATGTGTATATATATGTATATATGTATATGTGTATATATATGTGTGTGTTTTAGGAAGGACTATGCAAAAATTTGGAAGCTATAGAAACATTAAAAGTGTGGCTGATTACCAGCTTTGCACATAAATTTTTTCTGTCTAAAGAAGCTAGATGTAAATTAGCAGTAGGTGTGTTGCAGGGAGCGGTTGGCAGGTTTCCAATTTACCAGTGAAATTGGGCTACTTTTTAACTGCAGCTACAAGTTGGATTTTTTTTCTTTGTCCATGTGTTTGGGTTTCTGGATTTTGCAGACAATGTAACTGTATCTACATATGAAAATGAACATTTTTGTCTATATTGGTCTCCTCGCATATGTTTCCCTAGTATTTAAATCTGTTATTAATGCATTTCTGTCAGTGAATTCATCTACTAATTCTAATAAAAGAATAATTTATTTATTACTTTTAACACAATTTTGCGGAAACTGTGTGGTGTTTTTTTTTTTTTTTTTTTTTATTGCTTGCCCATTAGCCTTTGCCAAATTTATGGATAAAAAAAAAGATCAATAATCTTATTAATCAAATTATTTAACAGCAATTAAACACCTCGAATAAAGAAAGCTTTTATATATTTATGCATATAGATGATTGATGTCTCCTGATTTTAGGCTTTTGGTTTATGAGGTTAATAAATTAATAGTCAGGTTTTCACTGACTGAAATAAAGTTGCTGATATCAGTAAAACACATTTGTTCCTGTACTTTAGCAGCAGCAGCAGCAGCAATATTTTAGGAAGTCTTTGTTTGCATATGGTGTGTTTCAAGCCTTTTACTTCATATACATGTAATCTCACCAGATTGCACTGGTGTCTTTTCAGACAAGTTACCTCCATTCCAACAGTGATGTACACAAACACTACTCATGTACGAGAACCTCCTTTTCCAGAAGTGAGAGAGCTAGGCCTATGACATACTTCACATGTAAAATGGAAGAAGCCCTCTATTCAAATCTGAAAAACAAGATGACTAATTTTTTTCCTCACTTGACTCGGGACTAATGGGTACGAAGGGTATAAGATTCTGCAAATGCTCTAAAAACCCCAATCTTTTTGTCTGTTATGGAGACATTGACATTTGATCGTAAAACGTCTGATCACTGACACAGGCCTACTCTACTATGTCACTTGTTCTCTTTTTTGAGTTCAATCCTCAACCTTCATCTTTCCCTGCCCCGAACCATGTGACGGATGCCCCAAGATCACTCGAAGGCCTCAGTCTTGATAAAAAAGCACTTTAGACATCAAGAGCCTTGAAAGATTCTGTCAGGGAAATCTCTAAAAGAGCGAAGGACATTCCAGCCAGACTTCATAATGTCACGCTTTATTGTCTTCATAAAGTTGCGCCTCAATCTAAAGCACAGAGCGTATCCTTGGTGAGGTACGAGAAAAGATGAGGCTTTCATCTGACAAATGGTCCCACTTTTCCCACTATCTTCTAGGACTCTTTTTCTACATAGGTCTGTTGATGACAAGCTGCCCACTCCTTTCCCTCTGTCATTCTCCCTGACATTTTCCCCTTAATTCTTCATGTACAAATAGGTCTTTCTGGTCTGTTCATAGCCAGACATTTTGCTTTGGAGCACTAATTCCCCTTTATAGTGTCACATTCTGTGTTGGGTGTCCAAACAGCCAATGAGCCTTAGTGAAAATTAGCACTACGAACATGAAAGCTGTAGTAAGCCCTTCTAATATACCAGGGGGAAAAAATAATTTCAAGAGTTCTGTGTCCTTCTCTGCTCTTACTTACCTTCCCTATTTATACATCTTTTGATGCACATTCATTAGCAAGGTGAGAAGGGGAAAAAACATCAGACAGCTGCAGTATATTTTCTTCATTTTTTTTATTTAATGCTGATCTTAAGAATGTTTTGTGAAGTTGTCTCTCTGTCCTAATTAAATAAGTTTGGAGGAGAGAGGTATAAACCATGGAGGAGAAATTTTCCTTTTTCATCAGTAGCTAGGCATTGAGTCAGCCCTGGTTAATAGATATATGCAATCAGGGCATTGGTATGTTGTTGAAATGATTATGCAGATACGCGTTTGGTTTGTTGTGTATCAAATGTGTTTCCTGTTTTATACCATAGATAGTGGGTAGTGAAAGTCCGAGTTAGCGTCACACAGTGAGAAATAACAGTGCTCAGCTGTTAAGAGCTTGATGTCTCTAATACGTCATCTTATTAGTCTTGATCTTTAATTAAAGTAAATACGGAATTGAGCACAAACCTAAACACTGCTGAAACAGATAGCAGTACTATTATACTCACAATTGCAAATTTATGTATATAATAAAAGACGTCCTGTCCAAGGTGTGTTCCCTCCTTGTGCCCAGTGTTCCTGGGACAGACGCGGAACCCACCATAACCCTGATCCGGATAATGCGGATATGGAAGTTGAAGGAATTAATGAATATTATACCAAATCACTGACACATTCTCAAATTCAAAAAGTTTTTAAAGAGAATTTTTAAAAAATTTATTAAAATTATAAGCATTGACATGGTGAAGCTTTCTGTAAGGAGACGTTTCTTTAACATAGCTCTCCAGGGTCTGTAGAATACATTTTCCACCATGGGAAAGTCATTATGAATGAAGACTTTCTCGGTTTCTTGATTTTTTTTTTTTTTTTTTTTTTTTTTTTTTTTTTTTTTTTTTTTTTTTTTTTTTTTTTTTTTTTTTTTTTTTTTTTTTTTTAAATTAACCTCCAGAGATACAAAAAAGGGAGTATATAGTTTATAGTTTCTATAACACAAGCGAAAAGAGGAACAGACTTGTTTCTCAAATGTTCCACAACATTATAGACTGCTAAAAAAATATTTTTATGTAAAAAAGGTTTTAAGTAATTTTGGCAAATTGCTCTGGTATAAGCAGAATACATCACTTATAATGAATGTCAGGGTGGTAACTGTAACTTCACTTTGCACTGGGTCACATTACATCTTTGATAATATTCCTATTACAGCATGCCCTATAGTGTTTTAGTTCCTTATATCGAATCGTATACACCGGCCTTGCATATATTTATAAAATCATGTGAGTAGAATGACACCAGTTAAGAAATGAAAGCACTGTTGTAACTGTAGAAAGTTAGTGTAACAACCATAGTGATTTTGTATGTAATTGGCCTTACAATTTCTTATGAATCATATTTGCTACTCAGACTGCATACTCTAATCCAAAAGCTTATGTTAAATTTTAATAACAGTCTCGCTTTTCAGCCTTCAGATTAAATTTTCATAAGTAGACTTGATTTGTCCCTTCAGTTCTCCATTAATATGACCTGTCTAGTTGCTCCTTTGTATTGCTTCCTTTTTATTTTATTTTGCTTAGTGCTGAAGTTAACTTTTGAGGAGAGATTGTGAAAAAGCCTGCCACAGTAAACCAACTAAAGGACCAAATCGAGGAACTGCTTCTTGTTGTTGTTTCAGCTGCTCCATTAGGAGTTGCCACAGCAGATGACTGGTCTACCTGTTTTGATTTGGTACAGGTTTTACACTGGATGTCCCCCCTGACACAACCCTCCCATTTTATCTGGGTTTGGGACCAGTATTGAGCGTACACTCCCAGTGGCTGGGTTGGTTCCCTGCCTGGGAATTGAACCCAGGCTGCAGGGGTGAGAGCACAGGATCCTTAGCCACTACACCACCAGGGACCCAAATTGAGGAATGGATTAATTTTCAAACTTTTTTGCCTTCTTTTACAGTTATCGTATTCTTTGAATAAATGTTCTTGTTTTGAGTTACACCAAAATCTTTACATTATATCAAACATGGTTTACTTATGATTTGTTAATTTTCCTTACAGCAGGAGCTAAAACAACACATGCATTTGTCTTTTGCTTAATAGATGTGCATTGGGATACAGGGAGGCTTTGTGATACATGATACATAACATGTAATAATGTTATTAGTAGTAATAATTTGTGCTGTGGGATTGCTCTCCACTCATCTCAGTTGTATATTAATTCATTTTGCATATTCGTTTCCCCCAGGTGACCTATGAGCACAGTGCAGCCATTTTAATTACTGCCAAAACGCCTCTTTCCTGAAAGTGATGTGAGTGTGTGAGACCTGAAGACTGTGGGAAACACAGTTTTATTCAGACTGAGCACAGGTAGGACATGGCCTTAAAGGGCTTTACATAATGAATGTGTCATGACGAGTTAAGCTAATTGTTCTATTGTGTGTAAATCATGCATAGATGGCAGCAGTACTTCTAGAACAAGGATTTGCTATAACACACACAGTCCTCACCTCATTTTATAGTGAGCTTAAATTGCCAAGTGGCTTCTGTGTCTGATCACATTTAAATCACAGATATGTTCCAGAATGAGGGCAACACAAAGATAGAGGTTAACTCAACACTTCATTAAACATACACTTGTAAGTGTTTGTAGTGATGTTGGACATGCCATGTATGTAATGACATGTTACATATTATAATAGTTTATTTTCTGTAATTGCAGTATTGACTTTTGGTTGATTCTCTTCAGCAGATAGCATAAACATAATGTTTTTCATCACTGACTGGCTTTGAACACATTGCAGTAGTATGTGTATGTTATATATTTATTAGTAGTTTTCCATGCATCATTGTGGAGATCTATAGCATCATCATCATCAACACCTGTGGCCCCTGCTGGAACACGGGCCACCAGGAAGTGCTCTCCATGCATCCCGTTCCTGGGCCAGTTGCTCCAGATCTATAGCAGGGATCAGAAAACTGGGAGTAAGGGATTAAGAACTAGGAAAACCAAGAATGAATACAAAAGAAAACATAAAGAACCATGGCTCAGATTAACAGGGCATAAAAAGCAAGACAAATGTACACTATGCCTTACTGAAGTTTCTAGTGTTAACACTCACACTAAGAGTATGTTTTGAGACTTAGCTTGGAAATAGAAAACAGGAAGCATGTGGAAAACAGGATGTAAAACAATATAACTAGAAAACCTTAGCGACCTTAGAACTTGAATTTTACTCTCAGAGAGTGATTATATACATGACCCCATGAGCAAAAATTAGATGCAGAAACTATTCATCCTTCATGAAGTGTTCACTGACGTCAGAAAGAGCTCTTAGTTATTTCAAAGAAAATATTTAACACAGATGAAGTGGCCTAAAAGAGCACATCTCAAGTGGCCATCTTTGCTAAACTGTTCCTGGGGTCAGCTCGGATCAAATGGGACATGTAGAAATAGATCTCCCCCTGCTAATTTAGTAAGGAGTTTCAGCTAGAGGTGTATTCTGCGATTCTATGAGACCCAACAAAAACATTGTGGGAGTATGCAGTTTTAACTTTTGTGAAGACGAGAGTGGATGGTCAGATATGTAGCTTGAGGGATACTGTGCAGCACTCGTGAGTCATCTTGAGTAAATGCCTTTTCTTGTCAGGGTTACTATAGTTTAAATAACTAAGTTTTGCATATTTTGGGGAGTAGAACTAATGAAGAAAACACTGTGGGCCGGTACAAATCAAAAAATGAACTGCTGCTGGGACAGCTTCAGGATCCACCCACTTACTTGGAACCCTGCTGTGCCTTGATTGACGTCTTGACAGACGTGTCGCACGGTCTGTGCCATTACTATACGTACACTCGGCTAGTTGACAGTTCTTCAGTTGTAGTTCTCAGTCCCAGTCCTGGAACCCAGTTGACGAGGTATAGAACACACTTGGGCTCCACTAAAGGGGTATTTGAACCTGTACTCTAATGTGTGATATATATGATGAGAATCACTGGAATTGAGAACTACTAGGCAGGTTTCCATCAGGATTTGGAGATGATGTTGGAAGATGCATAAATTGGTGGTAATGGAAATGGTAATTATTGGAGCTATCTTAGAGTATCAACAAACTGTTTACATTAATTAATTGATTTTACATTAATTAATTGATTATTTTCAGTGCAATTGTAATGTAGCGTCAAGTGACAAGGTTTACATCGTTTTTCTCTATTACAATAAACCACGGGTAAAGTGGACACTTTATATTTCATGACCGCATCAATAACTAAGTGGGCTCTGTCTACCATCAAGAAGGCTGTCATTTCATGTGAGTTGTGCCTCTTGCCACATGCAATGTGCCTTGTAATTTGCTTTAATAACCTCAGTGATCTACTGCACTCTGATACTATGTCTCCCTTGCCCGGAGTGCTGACTAAAGGACATCTTTAACCATGCCATTGCATTAGAAATACAACCCACATTCACCAAAGCATATTGAGAATGAATGTGTCAGCTTTTTTTCTGCACTATTGGCAGGATTGCTTTATCACTAGTGGTACACCAGTACACACAGAGCCTCTGACCTAAACCATAGTGCTGCTCTGTCTGTCATTGCAGCCAATATGCATGTCATTTTATCAGGTCGCAGCTTCAGCGTGCTTGTAAACTCACCTGAGAGCATTTTAATGAAATTGATATCCAGTCAAGAGCCTGTACTAATCTCCTCTGAGCTCTGCTCTTCATTATGCTATTTCATTGTTTCTAACAGCTGTTGAATTTGGCTCATGCCCACTGCCAATTCCTCTATTATGTACTCCAATGGAAGTGTTCATACTTCTCTTTCATATCAGCCAAGTTGAGCCATATACATGTTTCTGTTCCATGACATGAAAATGACATAGTAGAGAGCTTTGTAGGCTAACCAAGTAAGGTAAAGTTCACTGTCACAAGATGATGACTTTATTTGTACTCAGCAAGGAAACGTGGACACACAAGGACTTCACTAGTACCAAAAGAAACCGCCCCGACAGTTCAGAACATAAGGAAACAGAACTTAGCTGCTGACGTTGAGGTTAGTCTTTGATTTGGTGCAATTGGCAGGAAGAAGTGCATTACCTAAAACAATGCAGGCCTCTGTTGTATAATGCCTATCAAAGGGCGATGATAGCAACTTTGTCTTGTTCGTGAGCAGGCTATCATAATTCTCATTGGTCATTATCATCTTGACTTGGTATCTATTGGTTTGTGAATTGCAAACAAAAGATAAGCCTGAGGACATATCCTGCTTGTTAAGGCAAGACGAAGAATCTTCAGTTGTTAGGAAAGGAGCACATGTTCTAATACTGGGGAAAATATTAGCGTTGGAATTGTTTACTGCAAAACTGTGGAGTACCCAAGGAAAGAAGAAAAAGAAACAAAATGTGCAAGGAACAGATCAGGCAAAAATAAAATGGACAATTTTACAAATGTAGTTGATTCGCCAAGAAATGTTTGCTTCTTCTTCAGCCTAAGCATTACCTGAGCATCCATCTTCCTAGACAATATTTTATCACTGTCAACAGTTATTAAAAAATAAGAAATTTATTTCTTACTGGGCTACTGTTATATCCAGAAACAAGTACACAACACCTACTACTATTACGCATTTGCCTGCACAAATACAGAATGGTGGATTAGTTTTTATTTGGTCCAACAAATTTGTTGCAAAAGATCTATCAGTGCCCCATCCACCATCAACCTCTCTTACTTTCATTTTCTTGCTCTCTCTGTTTCTCCTGTTCTAGCTCTCTCTCTGTGTCCAGCTGAATGCCCATGGCATGCCCAAGCTCGCCTTCTCATTGACTTCCACCAAACACTGGAGGCCTGAGCCAAAATAATTTGTATCTGCTCAATAAATCATTAAAGACTGTCATGCCGTGTCCTGCGCCCTCTTTGCTCGCCCTTTTCCCTCCCTTTCCCTCAGCTCTCAAAGGTCTTGTTAATGTTTCAAAACCGCACATAAGACGCAGCAGCCAGACGATTAATTTGAAAGATACCCACAGGGCACCTGCAGGATTTTTTCTTCCCTGACTTCTTTTGCCTCTGTAGTGTTAACACCTAGTGCTTTCAGAGCGAGGGAGCAGGCAGAGGGTGTAGGGGAGGAGGGGAGCTGGGAGAGAACCATACAAAGTGTACCCTCCAGTTATATAGCTGAGCTCTTTTACCCCAAAACAGTCTTTTGATGTGTGCAATATGTCAAAGCAAAATGGGTTAAATGCTTTTAATGCAACAGTTTTTTTTTAATTGTATGAGATAGCAAGAGTGGGTTAGAGTTACAAACTCACAGTGAATGACAAAATACTTTTAAGCTACGTGCTGGTAAATTGCTGAATCCAATGAGACCCTCACCAGGATGAAGCTGTTCAGAGTATCCGGAAGTATCCAGTTCCATATACTGTAATGTCTGGCCTAATGTCAGTGAACTATGAATTTTTATTTGAAAGCCCATAAACTTGTATTTACAGGAAGAGGTAGGACACTCGCTGAGAAAAGACATGGGCATTGAGACATGGGTCCTTGCTTTGATGTGCTTGCTGACTCGTGCAAAAGTGTCCTCGCAAGTCAATTTAAGATGCACAAAAACTAACGAACTGCAAAAGAAGATGCTTTTTATGCAGTAAATGCCTTCTGGAAGCTGTCAATACCCTTAAAAAGTGTAATGATTTCTTATCAGTGCTTGAATGAACCGTAAAAGCACATTTTGAGAGTATTGACATTTACACAGTCATGAGCAGGAGAATTCCTGCCTCCATATTGCAGCTGACGGCTGCTTATTCCAAAATGGGGAAAAAAGAAAGAAAGAAAAACATAGCCCGCGTGCTGAGAGAATAAAAACTAATGCTGTGTGCATTTATTCCAGATAAACCAGGCACAATAAATAATGGATTAT